GCCCGCCCCGCCGGCAGCCCTCGGGGGCCCGGCCGAGCCCCTGGACGGTCTGCGCCCGGCAGACTCTCCCCTCCTGCCAGCGAGCTGCTTAAAATCCCTGCACTGTACCCTTGCAGCCTCTCAGCCCTGCTCCGATCCAGCAGACTGAGTCTCACCTCTTGCTTACTCAGCACGAACGTCTTATGACACTTGCCTTGAGGGTGGGAATTTGCTTCTGCTCTTGCGGTCCGGCAGCATGTAGCCGGTCCGTTGTTTTGTCCTTGCAAGTCAATTCCTCGCCTTTGTTGCATGCTGATAGTTACACTTCAGCAAAGATACTTTTGAATACTGTCTTCATAATGAGGATAACTAGGAGGTAACGGCCCAACAAAAATTCGGTATTGCCGATTTATATAGGGGAAACCTAGTTACTTTGCTCTGTATCACTTATTTACCATTCATATTCATGGGACTGAGTGGATATCTACCATGTATACCTGGCCTTTTTGTCTACTGTAGCAATTCCTGCTCTTGGAAATAATTTCAGAAGGTTGCTGCGTGTGAAACTAAAGAATAGACCAAATGTCTGAAAATGCCCAGTGTTTACTCTAAGTTTTCTCATATACTGTGTTTGGCCTAACATATATTAGAAGGGTTATGCCTTTGCTCTGACAACATCTGAGATGCTTCTGCCTGGACTTTCTCCATCAGCTGTTGCAACTTTGTGCTGGATTGCAGAGTTTTCCTGTAACTGTGTTAAAGAACGCAACTGCACTGAGCCGGTGAATCTGAGCCTAATTCCAGCCACACCAAGGGAGATCCTTGGGTTCAAACAACAGGCTGCTGAGCTAAAAAGGTGTGAAGCTCAATTAGGTTCTCATGCTAGTTTAAATCCTCCTAGATAAACTGATAGAAAATGTATATTAAGAATCCGGTTTTGATCTCAAAGCGTATTAGTCAATTTGGGAATGTTTTCTGGTCCTGATGCCATGTGGTATGGAACGGCCTGCATTCATACTGTGAAATTCTGTTTGCCTCCAAAGCAAGGTGGTGCGTGCGTATCACCTCTTGGGAATAGTTGTTGGGCCGCGCTAACTCTTGAGCCATGCCAAGAATTCTTTAGGAGACTGCCAAGGATCGTTCAACAATTTAGCAGAACAGTTGATCATGTTCCAGGGCACAGTGCACTAGCACTGTATAATTTATTGGTGTAGACATAGGCTATAAATTTCAGTTCTTGAATGATTTTACATTTTCAAATTCTATTTGTAAAACGTCAGTAAGAATTATAATTAATAATATTCACCAGCGCACTGCTTTCCAATGTGAACTAAATATATCTCAAAATATCCCCATTGAGATAGGCAGCTAAATAAATCCACATTATCATTTCCATTTCACAAATAAGAAAACTGCAATCAGAATGAGTGAGAGCTGTAGTTAAGGCTTCCCATTTGTAAAATTTGTGTTTATCTATTAAACAGTTTTTTTTTCCTGTGGATTAGAATTTTAATGAAGTAGGCCAGCACTAACTGGTATCCAGTATGATACTTGTGTACGCTATGTAGCAGATTTTAAATTCAGAAAATCTTCTGATTATCAGGTCTAATCCCTAGAATTAATGTGCCCCGTTGCCTGCCACAAAATAATTTCATCCTACAGCCTGTAGGTCTTTAGCACATCTTTTTAGGAAGATATCAAAAGATGCAGAATTCACTTGTTTGCTGGATAAATTATTCCAATGATTAAAAAACTACTATTGAAAATAGAGGGCTTACTGTAGTATAAAAAGTACACATTCTTCATTGGATCCCTGGATCCCCTTGTCCTTCTTCTCTGCTAGGTTTTCCACTAGGCTTACAGTAAATGTTGAATCTCACTTTTTTTTTTTTCCTTTCTTCCTGCTATCAGTGGACTTCGCTTTTTTCCTAGTGGGCTTTGTTACCATGCCACTGACCCCTTATCAAATGCTTACTGTATCTAAGCTGCCACCAACTAAAAACAACAAATCCTTTTGGAGCAGATCTGTGCCCTTTCATGTCTCTTGGCCAGTACAGCAGGGAACAAAGACCCCTATAGTTGGTTCCTGTTCTTGAGGACCATGAGGTGGAATCCAGTAGTTTTTGACTTGTGATTTCTCAGTCTTCACTCACTTTTATCCTTGTTCATCTGATAACTGGAAACTTTGTTTTCTCTGGTAGGAAATCTTCATACCCAGTTAAAATGTTTCATAAAAGGGAGAAGAAAGGAGACAAAGACATAATAGCAACAGAAAACTATTTTCTCTATGATGCTGCTTCATGGTATGCTCCGGATTTCAAGGTTTCTTCCGAATAATGCTATCCAACGCTTCATCCAAATCTGCTACAGAGAGGCTACTTGGTTTAAGTCAGCTCCTTTTAAGCAAGCTAAAAAAAGGTGGTTGTGACTGATAGTAATGTCTGGAGGCACAGATGACAATTCTTCCATTAAAGTCATGTGTGGCGTCAGCAGCTGAATTCAAAGGGAGGGGACTCTTGCATTAAGACCTCTGGCAGAGTTTAGTTGAATGAGGAATGGAAATTGTCATTTACCTGAGGAGAAATGTGTCTTCCCACCTGTTTGGACTACAGCTCCTCACTGTCACCTCGAGCAGAAGACCGTTCATGAGGAAAACCAGGTACTGTTCTCCCAACTCCCTGGGGTTTTCCTCTCAAGTCATTCTAAAAACGGACCACCACCTCACCAAAGGGAGTGTTTGTGCTGACACGAGATTCAGAGACGTCAGAGTCTTCCAAAGGAGGTAGAGTGAAGAGCAGATACTTTGACCATAAAAATAGGGATCACACAAGAGGAAGTGAATAAATTGATCTTGACTGTCTCAGACCTGCTGTACATTGTCGTTCTCTTTTAATAAAACTGTTCCTAGGTCTCACATCGGGGCTCAAGTGTTTGCAGTGTCATCCTCATCTGCATCTGTTCATTTTTCTCTGACATCCAAGAAACGTCTAAACTCATCAGAATCATTGTGAAGAATGAAAATTAAAATAGGTAGTCCTCTTTTTTTTCTGAAGAAGTCCCCTATTGCCTTCCTTGTTATTCTACAATTCTCTGTGATGTTTCTAATATCAGGTGTTGAATGGTGCAACATGACCTTGCGCAGAGCAAAGAAGAGCTGAAGGATACCTTTAGAAAGAGCCTGACGGCTCTCCAAATGGTTCTGGATATCTGAGTCATGGACAGTTTTGAAACTGGTCACAGGCTGATTTAACAAGGAGCAAATCACAGTAACATTATTAAACAAGCAAACAAATAAAGCTCTATTATTTCCTGAAATATGCAAGGGGTGTCCTGTCATCACAGAGAATCTACACCCAGTACTGCAAATCTCACCATTGCAACCATAGAGAAGCACTGGAGTAACCCAAGCATACTGACTATTTCCCAAAGAAAAAAAAAGATAACAAATGTGAATCTTAATTACCAAAACCAGTATATTAAGAAGAAAAAAGATAAAGAGCTTAATGGTTACAGATCTAGAATGGTTTTAATAGGAAGACAGATAGAATAGATTAGGTTTGGAAGAAGAAAACCATATGGTGATATAACAGGTCCTTCAAGCTTATCTATGGTATAAAGAAAACATATAGGAAGCAATAATTGGTTATTTCCCATAGCTTCATTTGATGCCTTATAGTTCTTGTGTTACCAAATAGAAGTTGTGAAGCAAAATATCGTCTCTATAACATGTAGTGACATTTTGGAAGTGACTGCCATAGGATATTTTTGACGCAAGAAATACCAGAGTTTTCAAATGGAGGATTAAGCTATCAGGAAAAACATCCACTGAAGGCTATTACTCTTACGCTGATACAGCTTTTGATTTTAAAGTACCTAAGTTGCAGATTTCCAGACGCGGGGAGACAATACCTTCAGAAGCGTTCTTCTCCATTTGCTTCTTACAGTCCTGCTACTAGCAGTAAAGTACAAGATACTGAACAGACCTTTGGTATAAAGGTCATTGAACTTATGGCCTATGATTATATAGCCATTCTTATGTTAGAGATATAGTTCTATTTTATGTCATCTTGGAATATAATCAGTGGCAAACTGATTATGTAAAGGAGGCAAAACTATACTTTTCTGCCTCTTCTCTGATGATAACTCTGCTTGCAGCTACACCACAAGTTGAGGAGCTCCCAAACTGAGATCCAGTTTGAATCAACACTAGTCACAGAGATCCAGCTTGTAGAGATCCAAAGCTGTTACCATCTTGGATCTAAACCAATATAGCATTCATAGAAAATGTCCTGGAACTTAAGTCTGTTAGTATTCCTTTAGCTATACTGCGTAACCTTACTGCTGCTATACCATCAGCCTACCACCTAAGCAAGCAGGGAGGTGTCCTACTCATCATTTTTCTGAAAAGGAAGTGTCATGTATGCAGAACAACATTAGTGCTTCTTTACTTCTCAGAAGTAAAGTTCTTCCTGAAGTGACTTGTCGAAGTCAGTATGGACTGATACTCAGTATCAAGCAGACAGGTCTTCTATCATCCCAAGACATCCCTTAGTCTGTGGAAGTGCCGCCTGCCACACTGACGCTAAGAAGGAATGAATGCTTACTTTGTAATGGTTTGATGTCTTTAGCTGACGTGGGCTTTGAATAATAAAATTTATATTCATACGTGGCAAGAGAAAGCAGCAGCGGGTCTGTCCGGCTTTGAGAGATTCTTTTGCTCACTGACGTTCATCATAGCCTCGTTTGAAAAAGGATGCACTCTGACAACAGCATCTGGAAGAATCTGTGTTACGCGAAGCAACTGTTCTCTCTGTGGCGAGGCATGAAATCTGCTGCCAGGAAATACACTTTTGAAATCATAAGGATTCTGACTAATTTGGTCTGGAGGCTCTTGCCCAGTATTTTAAGATACAGTGTTCTAGGAGCGAAGACTTGACTGATCATGAGAAGACTCTGGAACTTACGTGCTTACATCAGAGCGTGATCAGTGTCCTGTTTGTGGATCTACATTGAGATATGAAGTGTGTAGAAATAACTGTAAAATCTCATTCTTCTAGTTCTCTTGGTACGCATGCAAACTTCAGTCACATCTTGATCTTATCTGAAATTGTTGAGTTTCATTTCCTTCTGTGTGCTGCTTTGTGACAGCATTCATTACATTCGTTTGGTTTGCAATGCTTAGGCTATAAAATGTTGTGAATAATCTGTACTTTTGAAGAGTACAGATGCCTATCTGCCCTATATGACCATATATGACAGACATAAGGGAATATAACAGATTTATATTTATGCGTACTCGTGTCCACAAAATATTCCATGCCCAGTTAAAAAGTCCCAGTGCGTTAATGATGAAGCCGATGGTGATCTTTAAGCACAGGTGAGACAGATGTCCAGGAAACATCTCTACTATCATTCTCTTATCCCTGCTTAAAGCTGGGACTTTAAATTTGCAAGACAATTAGCTGCAGCCCAAAGGTGAATAATTTGTATCTGACTCCTGTCCTGCATGCTGCAGCTGCCTTTCCACAAGCTGGCGGGTATTCTTTTCTCCTGTTTTATTGTGGCTTGTTTTCTTGCCTCTCTTATTCTAGAGGAAATGGTTGCTCCTCAGGGCACTAGCTTGAAATCTTCGTATTCAGTCTAATCTTTGCTTCAAAATACTATTAGCCATTCTTCCTCTGCTGTAAAACCATTATTTGAGTAGATAATTTTTTATCTTCAGCTACGGGTTTTCCATTTATTAGGTATGTGATCATCCAGATAATTTAGTGGGATGATATTCCATCACTGGAAATTAATATTTATCAACTTGGTATAATCAAAATAATTCCACTAAAAAAATTAAATTCCATGGACTTAATCCACTAGAGTTTGCTCTGTCTTTTATTTCATTCTAATAACATTCTAATATTCTAACAGCATGAAGTGCTTTTATCTGTTTTTATTTTTCTCTTTTCAGGAAGAACACAGTTTAAAGTGGTAATTAAAGCACTTTCTCCAAAAGAAATCAGCAGAATTTATGCCCCTAACCCTTTGGATAGGAACGATGGCACATTTCTTATGCGCTATCGGATGTATGGGAGTGTCCGAAAAGGGTTAAAAATTGAGATACTTTATGGTGATAAGCATGTAGCTCGGTCTCCTTATATTTTGAAAGGTAAGGGTGTTTTTTGATTTAATGTAATATATGCTGGTAGCTGCAGAAATGCTATAGACTACTTTGCTGCTAGAGGCAGAGGTGGGAAATTAGAGGTTCCTGTTGGTTTGTCCTTTTTCATGGAGTGTCATCATAGATGTTCTTGCTGAGAAGTAAGCAGTGATAATTGCGATACATTGCCAAGTTACAAGCCACAGATGCATAAGCATGTAGACTGCGGCCCCTGACCTTGAGGTTCTGCACCTGAACACCTCCTCTGCCCTCCTGCACAAGGAAGTGGGTCTCTTCAGATTTTGTAGGGAATAAGGAGAGAGAGGAATGCTTGCATTTTTACCGTAACTGATTTTTTCAAGCAGGAATTCACATAAAGGTTGTGTTACTTTTATTTAAACTAGAAAATCTTCCTGCAAAAGTAAGAAAATCTGTGTTGGTCCCAGGACTTCACTATTTAAATGTCTGCCTGTGTGATTTCTAAAAAGCATAATCCTTTATAATAACAAAGATATATTTCTCTGACCAGATAATATTTAACATTTTTCCTTCTGCTAGCCCAGTTTAATTCAATGCAGGTCATTGCTGCATAAGAACTATTTAAAAGTAGGAAAAATTAAAGCAAATTATTCTCTCATTCCCAATCTGCTTCTTTAAGTTCCCTGTCTTGCTCTAAAAACAGAGAGCTGTTTAGCAAGGAAAAAGGTCTAATATAAAGTTACTTCTCTGGAAAGTCTTGTTTCAGTTTAACACAATATTCTAATCAGAATGGTCATGTTTAATTTTTGTAAAATGTCCCAACTACAAACTGTTAGAAATGTCTTCAAAACCGAAATAAAATTGTCCCGAGTCCTCAAGGTAGCCGTTTCCTTTCCTTTTGCTGGAACACATTTACTTGCAGCTATGATGATATGACCGAGGACAGAACTTGTTTTGATTAGAAGTCCATGAAAAAAGGGTTTTTTTACACTTTATACAGCTCTTGCTTATACTTAAGCTCTCTGATCCGAAAGGACAGAAAGAATAGTTGATGGAAGAAAGCACCCTACACCAGAGGTAAAGACTACTGTACCAAACTTCTGCATTAGGTTAAAATTAAAAGTGTAATACGAGAGCCTTAATATTTATGGATAGTTAGGACAATTCTAAATATTCCATGCGGTTGGCAGGTGGCATAATTATGGAGCTCTGTTTTGTAGACTAATTTTTTTCTGAAAACCAAAAGGCAAATATTGATTTTTGAATAGAGAAAAATGTTGCGATTTTGCTCAGTTACAATGCTAAACCCCAGAAGTGGTATAGGGTAGGGTTATTATTGTGGGTTTCTGTGGTGTAGTGGTTATCACGTTCGCCTAACACGCGAAAGGTCCCTGGTTCGAAACCAGGCAGAAACACCATTTTTAACAGCATGTGCTGGGAGCTGACCTGCTGGAAAGCAGCTCTGCAGAGAAGGACCTCCTCGACAGCAAGTTGACCGCAAGCCAGCAATGTGCCTTTGGGGCAAAGAAAGCCAATAGTACCCTGGGTTGCATTAGGAAGAGTGTTGCCAGCAGGTCAAGGGAGGTGATCCTGCCCCTCCAGTTCTGGGCTCCCCAGTACAGGAGGGACATGGAGCTCCTGGATCGAGTCTAGTGAAGGGCTACAAAGATGCTAAAGGGACTGGTGCATCTCTCAGATGTGGAAAGGCTGAGGGAGCTGGGCCTGTTCAGCCTGGAGAAGAGAAGTCTAAAAGGGGATCTGATCAATGTGTATAAGTATCTGAAGGGGGGGTGTCAAGAGGATGGGGCCAGCCTCTCGTCCGTGGTGCCCAGCGATAGGATGAGGCAACGGGCACAAACTGAAGTTCCATCTGAACGGGAGGAGAAACTTCTGTGCTGTGAGGGTAACAGAGCATGGGAACAGGTTGCCCAGAGAGGTTGTGGAATCTCCATCCATGTTGATATTCAGAAGCTGTCTGTACACAGTCCTGTGCAACATGCTCTAGTGACCCTGCTTGAGCAGGGGTGGGGGTTGGACTAGATGATCTCCAGAGGTCCCTTCCAACCTCAACCATTCTGTGATTCGGTGATATGATACGGTTTAGATGATTTCCCGTGAAAGCATTATAAAACTAAAAACTAGACACTTGACATTTAAAAATGTGAAGCCACTCTAATTTCTGGATTTGTCTGCCTCTGAATTTTGGAAACTATGATTGATTTGGAACTATCACAAGTACAGACCCTCAGTGCTTTGTTTGCTGCAGGACCAGTTTATCATGAGTATTGTGATTGTCCTGAAGAAGACCCTGAGATCTGGCAGAACATTCTCTCTTGTCCAACCCAAGAACCTCGGATTACTGAGGACTTCACTTCTTTTCCTACCATTGACCTGCAGCGAATGCTCAAAGAAATCCCCACAAAGCTCAGTCAAACAAGAGGTGCTATTGTTCATTACACTATTCTCAATAATCACATCTACCGTCGTTCCTTGGGGAAGTACACAGACTTCAAAATGTTCTCCGATGAAATGTTGCTTTCACTGGCAAGAAAGGTATCATTTTATATCATTTACTTAGGACTATTAAATCACACTCTGATATGATAGTACTGCATTCATTTTGTATCTTCAGATTTGTAATTACTGAAGCAGGATTTTATTTTATTTTTTTTTGTCAAGGTGATTGTCTCTTTAGGGATCATAGTGTAACTAGTGTAGGGGATCTGAGCTGGAGACTAATGATGTTGATGGGAAAGTTGCAGGAGCTAAGGCCCAGTTCTGCAAACTTGGTGCTTTCCATGAGTGTTCCATTCAAACCTACTTGCAGGACAGAAACTTGAAATCAGTATCTTAATCTCAGCTAAAGTTATAATGTCTAGCAGGCTTATTGCTTCTGTGTGACATAAGAGAACTGAAGATTATGCTTTATGTAAGACTGACAAACAGCCGTGTAATTATACGTTTGTGTTATTATCCTTTCTTGGATATACATTTAGGTTCGTCTTCCTGATGTTGAATTCTATCTTAATGTTGGAGATTGGCCAGTTGAGTATCGAAAAGTTAATGATACACCTGGACCTATACCTATCATTTCATGGTGTGGCTCTGTGGATTCAAGAGACATAGTCCTTCCAACATATGATGTAACCCATTCAACTCTTGAAACTCTACGTGGTGTCACGAATGATCTTCTTTCTATTCAAGGCAATACAGGTAAATTAGAGATTACAGATTTAAAAAGAGAATGTATAATTCCATCAAAGATAATGTGTATGAAAATCTTCAATTCACAAGTGCCTTGGGAGGTCTCTTATTACAAGCAGTTTAGTCTTTACAGATTCCAAACACTTTTGACACGGCCACGAAGGAGGTGTCTAATATGGATTTAAAGCCAAAATTTAAGGAGTCTGCTTCACAGTACTGCTGACTTTTAACTTTATGTTATTCAGAAGATAGTCACTGTGACTTGTCAAGAAAAATGAATAGAATTAAAAGGCCCCTCTTCTCAGTGCAGGACTTCAATGTGCTACTTCTAATCAACTAGTAATCCTTTTACTGATAGTGATGCGGCCCATTGTTGTAATTGTTTACATGAAAATGCAAAAATGAATTTGAATCCTGAAAGAGTAAACCAGTACTATGCTGCAGCCTCTTTCAAGTCAGAACATAGTGCTCGGATAAAAAGAATACTGTAAAGAGGGCCCTCCTGAACTGCTTTTCTAGCTTCAAAGGAAAAGCTGGTTTTACTGACAAGTGGTTTTTTCCCCCAGGAAATTCGTGAATACTTGGGGATCAGACAAATGCTAAGGAGCAGAATTTGAGTGAGGAGATGTTTCTTTTTATTTGACTTTAAATTAACTGTTTTAATTATCAGTTTGAAGGCGTCTCAGTCTAATGATTTAGTGCAGCTGCTCTTCCAATGAAGACATGACAAGATCCTACTCCACTTCAGCGTGTCCTTTAAGGAAATTTCCAGCAGAAGCAGAGAGAAGGACATATTTAATGTTTTAGAGCAGGAAATAAGCAGAGCTGAAGTCTTCCATGCTCTTGCTGAATATCTTGAAGACACAGAAAGAGCACAGCCATTTTTTCCCTCAGAAGTCACTATTAAGTGACTTCTGAAAGACCTGACAAAACTGCTGGAAAATAGAAGTGGATTTTACTGAAGAGATTTTGGTTATTGGGGCAGACTTTTAACTATTATTTTAGTTAGATAATTTGATTATAATCTCTTACATAGCTTTCAAGAGATTTAAAGTTAATTTAAATATGAAGTTGTTGAATGGAAATGCAATGCCTTGTTTTTCTTTTTAAAAGTGGCTAAGTTTCTCATCCCAAAATTAAGACAGAACTAGGACTTTAAACCATTTTATTAGTAGTGATTATGGATTAACTAGCAGAAATCATGCCTGTTTCACCATCCCCCTGAGTGTAATTCCACTGTCATAGGAAACTCATTATTTGCATTAAACATATAATGAAAATGTCATTACTGCTCTCTTTTGTCTTATCACTCAATATTTGTAGGTCCTTCCTGGGAAAACAAAACCGAGCAAGCTTTATTTAGAGGTCGAGACAGTCGGGAAGAACGTCTCTATCTTGTCAAGTTATCCAAGGAAAATCCAGAACTACTTGATGCTGGAATAACAGGATATTTCTTCTTCAGAGAAAAAGAAAAAGATCTGGGAAAGGCTCAGCTGATGGGCTTCTTTGACTTCTTTAAGGTAGTGAGCAAATTACAGTCTTGGATGAATTTTGCTGTCAAATTCTTGCCGGCTGAAAAGACACAACTTAATTTGGCTAATTCCATTCAGTAAACAAAACAGTCATGCTACACTGAGAACACTGGTTCCTACAATATAGATATGCCACCTATAATTAAAATCAGTGTGACACGCTTCTGAAGAAAGCCACTATGGTTTTTTTTTTGTTGTTTTTAGAATCCCACTGACTTCATTGATTGTTTAAATAGACACAGAAATTGATTGCTGATGGCCAGGTTTTTTTATTTGGGATAAATATGAAAACAATGGACAACATTTTTACATGCAAAGTCCTAATTGATGTCAGAAACAGTCCTTGTAGCAACAGGTTAGAAAAGTAGGTGGCTGTTTTTTTACACTTCATCACACAAATTCCACTGCAACAAAAGTATAAGACATAAAAGGGCCAGAGCCCCGTGAAAGGCAATTATAGTATATGGCAACTGACGTTCTGTTCCAGAGATGAATGTATTAGAAATGCTTTAATAGCGAGAGATCGACAGAGCACTATATTCATAGTTACTTTTAGTATAATGTTTTGATTATTCTGTATAAGTTTAAGTGAGAATAAGTTTATTCGTTTTGAATTTAAGTATGGTTAGTTCGAGGTTTATTTCCTTCCCAGCGCTACGCCTTGTTCTGTCACAGGACACGTTACTGGAATACCCATCGGGAAGTTCATGTGCCCAGAGGCTCTTGACTGTCAGTGCTGGGTTCAAAACACATCCTTTTCTCTTTATAGTGTCCAGAACACTGTGAAACTACGCCTGCTTATCTCTAAAACAGGCTAGAAGATGAGAATTAATATGCATATTTGTAATTATTTCATGCCTGTGAGAAGAGTCTTTTATACAGTCGGTGTACCTCATTTGATTCAAAAATTTGCCCCCTTTTTTTCTGTATCTCCATATTATAGTACAAATACCAAGTGAATGTAGATGGGACGGTAGCAGCTTACAGATTTCCATACCTCTTGCTGGGTGACAGCCTAGTATTGAAGCAGGCTTCCCAGTACTATGAGCACTTCTATACTGAATTAAAGCCATGGAAACACTATGTTCCCGTTAAGAGGACTTTAGAAGACTTGCTAGAGAAAATAAAATGGGCTAAGGTAAGTGCCATTACCAGTTCAAGTTCAAGAGGATAAATAAATGTGTAAACAATTTATCTTAATGCTCCTTTCTTTTCTTATTTCCACATACATACTTTGCATGAGCTCTATATTGATGTCCTGAGATAAAAGGGAGTATGTTATGTTGTTGTTGCTATATGAGGGAAGGCCTTAATTCAAGTAACCACCTCTATTCAGGAAAATGCGTAAGAATTAACTTTAGACACGTTTAGAAGTATTCCGTGAGTCAGGGTCTTAATATACAGACTAATGCAGATAATTTCCAAAGAAATGCCCCAAATCCTAGCGACTAGTTAATTTCTTCCACCACTTTTATTTATGTCCTGATTAGAGTAGAAGAAATCATTGGACGTCCTGTTTAAATGTCCAAAAAAAAAAAAAAAAAAAAAAAAAAAAAAAAAAAAAAAAAAAAAAAAAAAAAAAAAAAAATCACTACTCTGTAATATGCTCAGAGTAAGAGGCTGGTATTCAGGTTCTGCGCGACTGAAAACACCATTTGTGCTTTAAACTTAACTGATAGCTGAAGAAACACAGGAAAAGAGTCTGTTCTAGAATACTAAAAAGTTCTTTATAAAGGATCAGATGAGAACACTAAAAGCTTTGAAACAGCAAGCAACTTGAGAGCAAGTACATGCATTAAAGCGCTCCTGCTGACACTACCTATACCCATTTTAATGCGAATCAAGCAGAGTTATTTCTGAAAGCTTCGTGAGGTGAGGAAAACACTGAATTGTGTAGCATGGAAGAGGACAACAGCTGCAGCTGTGTATTCTGAGTAACAAATATGCGTGGGAGGTGTTAGACCTGCTTGTGAAAAAGCCTGTGGCTTGGACAAAGGGGTAGAGCAGTCATCACCTGAGTTTTCAAAACTGTACAAAACTGTATCATTAGTGATAGCTCTAAGGTACCATTGTCTTTGTGACGATAAAAGCAATCCAGTGTGTTCCGGGAAGCTGGAATTTAAACAGTGTGCTCTTGCAGTAACTGAACATAAAATTGCAGCTCTGAATAGCCCCTTTAAAAAATAAATTATGCCAGCCAGGATTGGAATAACTCACTGATTGCGCTATTATTCATTTCTGTTTCTTTTCAATTTTCCAGGAAAATGATGAAGAAGCAAGAAAAATTGCTAAAGAAGGACAGTTAATGGCAAGAGAATTGCTTCAGCCTCACAGGCTTTACTGCTACTATTATAAAGTGTTCCAGGTTACTAGAATAGATCATTTAATTCCTCTCCCCCAATTGCTGTTGCTACAGACGCTACAAGTTTCTCTTCGGTCCTTATTTCGATAGCAGACATTGTTCATATTATTTACAAGAGAAGAGTTAAACAGCTTTGCTAAAACTTGCCTCATCGTTGAGGAGGCAGCATGACGCAATAGTTGTTTTACAATCAGAGACTTTTGATTCCACCCTCCGTCCTCATGGTCAGACCTGTTTTCCGTGTCCTGTATAGAGTTTGGAGGTAGTCTGTCCACAACTTTTTTCATTTTTACCTTCGAACTTACCCACTTAGTGTCTCACTCAGTAGCTACTCAGCTGTGTTACGTAACACTGGATACAAGGAAAAGAAATCCTGGAGATACGGCTAGTAGAGTGGTAAAAGGTGGTGAAGCAGACCAAACAGTCATTGCTTTCCTAGGAGAAGCAAATCTCTAAGACGACTTAATTTTCTGTTCTGTAAAAGAACTAATTTATTTTTGCTATCTTGCTGTACAGAACTAGACCTCAGCCTCAGCAGTCACAGGTTGACACAACGTCTGGCACTGTTTAGCATACGAGAATGACAGCATTATCTGCATAAAGTGGTTAGAGGCACCAATAATGACAATATTCAAATTGACACTACTAATAGGACACGGGATAATAGTAAAGGCAGTTTTCAGAGGCAATGTAGCCTATTTTTAGGTGTGTTATAAAGACACCTTCGAGACAGGTGATAAACAGTGACATAAGGAGCCTGGATAAAGGCAAGCTTGAGAGTGGAAGGGAGAAGGAAAGCTCTGTTTCATGAATTATATGTTGATGCTTTCAGTGTTCTTAAATGTTGTTTACATATTTCAGAAATATGCCAAACGCCAAGCCAGCAAACCTGAAATACGGGACGGAATGGAACTTGTACCTCAGCCTGACGACAGGGACTCAGTGTGCAGCTGCCACAGGAAAAAGCCTCTAAGGGAAGATCTCTAACTGTACCGGATGGAGAAAATCATTCACTTATGATGCAAGAATTTTAATAGGATTTAAGCTGTGAAATCTAAGGACACTTAGGCACTAGCATACATTCTTAGTTAAGTATTCTATTATATTTACATATCCTTTTTTAAGCTGGCTCTGATTTGCAACGTTGGTTCCCAGAGTTTCGTCTCCGTGAGCACCACCAGGCGGGAGCCTCCAGGGGACTTGTCTGCTGTACTGGATCGTCAGGAAGAAGAGCGCAGTGCTCCTTCTGGTCCAGCTAGGTACCACAGTTGTACGGAGAACCAGTCATCCCCAAGAGATCTTCCATGAGTCAGTGCAAATTATTCTAAAGGAGCATTTGCAACATACTAAAACAGTGTTATGATCTCTTCATAAAGTTTACCTCAGCGTTAGAGGGACTCTTGTATACAAAACAGTTTTCTAACTAGACAAATAAAATCAGTATTTGAGATTTACAGATTTCAAATCTGGTGTGGCGTTGAGATTAGTTTGGGGTGTATGGCAGATAACAGAATAGAGAACGCATGATTTAATATTTATCAGTTTCAGAAGAAAATGGAGGGGGAAAGATCAGAATAATGTTTTTACAAGCATCATGGCTGTGAATCAGCAAAATTAAATGCTACTTTAAAGTAGGCTATGTAGCTATCATCATTACTGTGCTTTCAGTGCCAAGATACTGAAGACCTGTTCCCTGCTCTGCCGCTGACTGTGGCTGTGAATATAAGCAGAAATCCACAAAAGGCTGTGGGAACTTCAGGTGGGAGCTGGGTGAAACACAGGCATCTTAGTTCAACAGTACAGACTACCGTATTCTGGGTTACCTGGGCATTCATGCTTCTGAAGCTTAGTAAAGGCTTAGAGTACCTAGGTTTCACTTCTGTGTAAAGCTAAAAATGCCACCATCTTTTCACTTTGGTTCATGAGCTACTTCTTCCTGTGCACAAGTCCCCTAAAGGGAGCTTATCCATTTTCTGAATTTAGATCACACCAACCTCACCTTATACTGACAGCACTGAACTCAGCAGAGAGCGGATCAGCTATCACTGTTTTCATTCAAACGTATGACAGAAAAAGCTATGCTGTGTTTTTCTATGTAATAGTCTAGGGATTAAAGACCATGCTGAGCTAGCGGGAAGCCAAGCATCTGTGTCCTCCTTGGTTTGATTCAAACCTGTTTTTTTCAGAGTGCCTTAGCTCCAGACTGTAGAAGAGTTCTTCAGTTCTTCAGCTGAAGGTGTGCAGTCATGCAGCTACAGACCAAAAAATCCTGTTCCTGGATGCTGTTCCCAATATCTCTGCTGATTTTACCCAAGAGACTGTTTCCTACAAAATGTGTAAACAGTCCTGGCAGGAGGGACCAGAAGGCCAATCTTCCCTCTCCCATCATGAATAGCTAACTGGCCAAGGTGTAGTATCTGGCTTCCTGATTCAAAGCCAGCTTGCAGACTGCTGATAAAAAGCCATTCAAAGTTGGTACTTTACTTAAATTCAAATTAACTTTGAAGTGTAGGGCACTGTAAAACAGCTAAAGCAGACAGGAAAACAAATTAAAACAAAATAAACCATGAGTTCAGTTGGGTTGAAATTATCCAAGGTAGGTGCATTACCAAACCCGTTGCCTCTCACCTTTCCTGCAGGAGGCAAGCACAAAGGTATTGGGTGTTCATGCAGTGACAAAACCGCAGTGAGTCCTCAGTCCAAAACAGGGATTTTGAGGACGCCTCAGCTTCCTAGCTGTACGAGGCATTTGTGTTGTGCCTGCGGAGAGGCAGCCTACAGGCCCTCACTCCCGTCCTCTACGTTTTCTTCTTGGCTAACGCAGCACCTCTGAGCAGCCTCCTGCTCAGCTCCACCCAGATAATCACGTTCACGGATACCTAATTCTCCCTGTGCAAGAGGATATAAAAGCATCTTAAGGTTGTGGCCTCCTCTAGTTGCTTAGCTGCCCAACATTTAGTACTGTAACACTCACGCGGGTTTCACTTCTAGCTTGACGCTGTAGGTTTGTCTCATAAAATACATAAAACAAAAATTCTGTACTAGAACAGGAATAAAGACCAGACTTTTCAGCATGTTCAATACAGAGAGAGCCTCAGGTCTCTGAAGAGATTCATGCAACTGTCCTGCAGTTATTTATTACATTATACTGGTTAAGAGAAAAACCTGAAACATCTTGCTCTACCTGTCACCCTCTTTGTTCTAGTTTTAACACTAGTATAAACAGTGGTTGTCATTTTATTTAGATCAGTTCTAGAAGTTCCGGATATATGTTCGGTTCATCTGGCCTGAAATCTGCTATAGCAAAATTCAGAAGCAGGGTCCCATTGCTGAAGCAGACACCAAAAGCTCAGTGTGTGTTCCTTTTTTCTTCTCTGTGTAGAGTAATTTTTACCATTAATCGGATGATATACCCATTATACTCATCAATGTTTATGAAAGTGCAGTGCTCAGCAAAGGCAATTAAGCATACTACACGGTGGAAACAACAAAGTTTTTCCCCCTCACACACACACATTTCACTTTTTTTATTTCGCTTTTATAGCTCACAGGCAAGAAATAGCCTGAAAAAGATGAATACGTTCATCTTCCTACCAAAATTAAGAAAACAGTAGAGATATAGTAACACTTTCATTAAAAGTGCTTAGTAATTTGAGGAAATCTGGTTTGATTTATAGCTACAGATTTTCCAAAGCTAAAAGAAGGTAAGGTAAAGCCTCTCTTGTTTCAGCTGGTACCCTACGCAATTTCAGTTCTAATGACGAGCAATCGTAACAACTGTCCCTGCAGGCCAGAAAAGATGTCAAATATATTTTAGTTTGATGACAGGTTTAGTTCATTGGCTCGTTGCGTTACAGAAATTGTTAAATATTCAATAATACCTGTTTGTACATGTAAAGTGTAATACACATAGTGCACATGATTTTTAAAGCTCCATACACAAAGTGGAGTTTCTATTACTGTACTATCGTTCTTGAACAGCAAGTCAGTAAATCTCTTGCACACCTAGCAATTGCTGGTAATTTAAAAAGTTTTAGTTTTATCATACCACAGCACTGAATTTTACTATGATAATTTCAATTTTTACTGCACAACATAGGAATTACCACTATAAAGTGAAATCTTCAGTTTTAAAAACCTACGGCAAAACTATCACTGATGGTGCAGACAGGCTTACTTGTTTAGGCCGGTAGGTCCTAGAGTCCTCGGCCAACGTTTTCAAACGCAACAATATAAAGTGGTCTGACTTCCTTAAGTGTTGGTCATGCAGAACCTATACTAAAATCCACTTACATCATTGCTTATTTTCAAATCCCTTTCAAATTAATGGTAGCTTCGCATAGTGAACACTGCAGAAAAACAGTCTTTTGTGTATCTATTCACACAACACATTTAGGAAATTTGGAAATACTTACCTAACCTTAATTTCCTCCTGAAATGAGAACCAGTAAACAATGATCTGTTGACCATGAAGGAGACATACATTTAATAAATTTTCAAAACATATTTTTTGAGATTTACTTAATGATAACTAATATACTACAGTTTCATGACAGTATTGTTCCAGGTCGGCCTTGCAGATTCATAATTAAAAAAAACTACAAGCAAGTCTGATGGAATGTTAGATCCCAACATCAATCCTGGGAAGCATACAGCTGACATTTATTACATCAGAAAGTAAATTATTTAGTTAGGGAGGAGAGCTGACAGGGAAAATGTAAATCACCTGTTTGAGCATGTTTGAGAAGCTTGCAAAGAAATGGTAATAAAGAAAAGAGGCGCTACATAAACCCAGGATATTATCAGCTCCTTTACCACTTCAGGTTTTCAAAAGCGTGCAACGGTAAAGTGCAAGATTTTATTTGAATACATCATTAAGTTCACAAGTCTTAACCACGAGAATCTTTTTGTCAATGGACGTTTTTGTAGCATACTAACAAGGGTATTGGAGTACTAATGCTTGGCTTTTATTTTGAGTTGATTATGTAAGAAAATCTCAACGGTAAAGAGTTATGGCACTAACTTTGTGTTTTGCTTTTAAGGCAAAAGGGATTATTTTGTGTGTCTGTTTGAAGACATTTGAGGGCTACATGCCTTAATCCAGTCCCATCATGCAAGTGGTGATAAGCGAGAGGTGTATTAGCAGGAGTGTGGCTAGCAAGTCAAAGGAAGTATTTCTTCCCCTCTATTTGGCAGTTGTGAGACTATACCTGGAGTTCTGTATTCAGTGTTGAGCTTCCTAGTACAAGTATGATGCAGTGGAGTGAGTCCAGCAGAGGGCCACCAAGATGATTAGGGGTCTGGGTCACACAATGTATGAGAAGAGGCTGAGAAGGTCGGGTTTTTTCAGCCTTGGAAAAGGCTGAGGGAAAGATTATATTGCTGTCTACATCTACCTCTGGGGAGGGTGCAGAGCAGATGAAGCCAAACTCTGCCCAGAGGTGCAGAGGGGAAGGCGACAAATAATATACACAAGCTGCAACATGGGAAATTCCAGTGAGATAAGGAAAAAAAAATCACATTGAGATTTGTCAAATACTGGACAGAGAGGTTGTAGACACTCGGAATTCAACTGAACAATGCCCTGAGTACCCTCATCTTATTGAACCTGCATTTAGTGAGGACCTGGACAACACGACCTCCAAATGTCCCTTCTGACCAGAACGATTCTGTGAACTACATTTCAGTCATACAACAAGCACTTATCCAGGTGCATAACAGAAGGGTAAAAGGACACAGTTCTTGAGTGTCTCCAACAGGATAAGTGGCCTTCCCCTGTGGAGACTTTTGACAGTATTCACGCATATGAATATATGATAATATTGACTGAGAGCATTGCCAATATGTTAATGTTGGATTTTAAGACTATAAAACTATTCTTGCAATATAGCACAGTTGTGCAGTACACATATGACTCAATGGAAATAAGATATATTGCATTATATGTTTTGAGTGATTGCAATTGCAAGACCTCATCTTTCAAGAAGCTGAATAGACACATTACACATGAGACAATTACAAAAGATTTTGAGTACAGTTATGAACCAGCAAAGCAAGTAATTGTTAAGGAGTCACAGGGACCATTAACGTACTTAAGAGTTACACATATACTTAAATGCCAGTGTACTCGGCATAGACCAGCATACTCCCAATAGTTTCAAAAAATCGACCAGGATCCATCTGTTCCACCCATTTGCAATGCAGCACAGAGATGCTCAAGACACCTCAGCAGAATACCAGGAGAGCCTATCTGAAGTAACATAGAGCTTTATAATGGTTATCTTATTGCTAAAAACACACAGAATAAATTATTCTGGATGGGACTTGTTAGCACTTGGTCAATTCAAGCTATACTTGTAAGACTGTACTTTCCACTACTGCTTATGCCGCTCAGATGTTTGTTTGATTTGCCATCTTAGGACCGAAAAGCTGCGATCAACCAAAATGATCCTTATCAAGTCAGCATCCTGCAGGTATGACACCTGCTTTCTTCTTGCATGTTACTCATGCCAAAGTTTTCACTGTTGCAACAGAAAGAGATTCAAGTGCAGTATTAACATGAAAGCCTGCTTTCAGTTAGATTTTTGCTGACATAGTGAAACCGGTTAGAGTGAAAACCATTTTTGCTCCTAAGGGATGAAGCCATTCTGGCCAAAACCATAAGCTGTTACCTCACAGGAAAGGTAGTTTTGCCAGTCTAGTTCATTTCATTCGATGAAATGACATAGTTGTAAAAAAATAAAATAAAAAAAGCCCCAAACCAACAAAAAAAATGCTCTGCTGGTAAAAATTGTTATTTTTTTAAGGAAAATTTGATGTTACTGATACTCTGGTATACTCCTTTTAGTGAATACAGAGCATGAAGTAACTTTACGAGCAAAATAAATTTAAAGAGATACACCAGGGCAATTTCACTCTATACTTTATCACGGTACAGTAATACTGAACTCCGAGAGTAGATAATTCACAACTGTAAGACTAAGGGTCACGGTATTACAATAAAGCTCTATCAGCCTAAACAGAAGATACAGAGGAGACATCAACTCTCTGAGATAACTGCGCAAGCAAAATCCTATACAGAAATTCAACTAATTCTGACAGGAGTCCTTAATATTATTTACTTATACTATTTGGCGAGATGGTT